ATTTTGATGCAGAAAAGAAGCAAAGAATATCTATTTAATTTTATGAGACAGTGACAAGTGTGTTTGTGTGGGTGTTCGTGTGAGTATGTGTGTGTCCTGTGTTCATGTAGGTACTGTATGTGTGTTTATGTAATAATAGTATTGTCTTGAGTTTGCATGTGTGTATGGATTTGTTTTCGCGTATACACATACCTTGTTACCTTGTACGTGTCTGTGTCTGTTTGTGTGTGTGTGTGTGTGTGTGTGTGTGTGTGTGTGTGTGTGTGTGTGTGTGTGTAATAATAATAATAATAATAATAATAATAATAAACGGTTCATTAATAGAGTTGCAGCCGGTGCCTGAAAATATACAAACTTACATGTGATTTAGACATAATGATATGAGTTCAATACATTTACAGGGCTGTACAGTGTACAGTACATGAATCAGGAGTTGTTTATTATTTTAACAATAGATGGGATGGTGCTATTCTTATATCTATCGGTGCGGGCTCTTATGGGCTGAATTTTGTTGTAGTGGCGAGGTGGGTGGGGGGCTGCCTGTGGCAGGAGGTGGCGATGATGAGGGTGGTGCAATAGTTGGCTGCCAAACCTTTCCAGTGCTTGGTGGTGGAGGTCACTGAGGGATGGCATTTCCAGGGTGGAGAGAGTGTTGGTGTAGCCGGAGTAGTCAGCGCCGAGCATGATTCTGCAGGCCCTTTTCTGTACCTTCTCTAGCTGACGTTGTTCGGTGGAGTTGAGGGAAGACGACCAGGCTGGTGACGCATACGTTAGTTTGGGAAGAATAAAGGCGTGTATGTGTGCGTGTGTGTGTGTGTGTGTGTGTGTGTGTGTGTGTGTGTGTGTGTGTGTGTTCGAAATATAGTTAAGTTCTGTGCTTCATTACTCTCCGGCGGAAATATTTTATAAGTTGGAAACATATATATTGTTTGACTTATTACTGTGTGTAAAATATTTTATAATCTAAAATTTGCTAACACTAATAACGAATAACATAGCTGACTTATATTACCAATAGCGCTCTTGGAAGGTGGTGGTAGGCAATGGGTGGTGGTAATGGTGGGTGATGGTAGCTGGATAGTGATTGTAGTTGGTTGATGGTGGTAATCTGTGGGTGGAGGTTGTAATGGATGGGTAGTGGTACCTATTGAGTGATGATAGATGAGTGATATTAGTATAACATGAATGGTTTTAGTGGGTTTAGTGGTAGTAAGTAGAAGGTGGTGATGGATGGATAAATGTATAGGTTGAGTGTAGAGGCTGGGAGAGCACAGGTAGCGTTAGTGTAGGGGCACAACACGAGGCAGCAGTCAGTCATGGTAGAAGTTCCAGTTAAGATTGACCTCCGGGATACACTCTACCTCCACCACAACCACATTACTGTGTGGAGTCCAGAGTACAGTGCCCCTTCAGGTTACTCTACTCTTCCAGGTTACAGTGTCCCTCCAGGTTACTCTGTCCCTCCAGGTTACTCTGCCCCTCCAGGTTACTCTGCCCCTCCAGGTTACTGTGTCCCTCCAGGTTACTGTGCCCTTCCAGGTTACTGTGACCTTCCAGGTTACTGTGCCCCTCCAGGTTACTGTGCCCCTCCGTGCTACAGTGCCCCTCCAGGTTACTGTGCCCCGCCAGGTTACTGTGCCCCTCCGGGATACTGCGCCCCTCCGGGTTGGTGTGCCCCGCCAGGTTACTGTGCCTCAAGGCGGAGAGTTTCTAAGAAATGACGTCAGAGTTAAGAATCTAGCGAAAGAGGCTGCAAGAGACCGTGCAGCTTGGTGGGCTGCCATCTGGTAATAACGTAGAATGCACGCGTGGAAAATGGGAGTACAACTTATTTAGCTCAAAGCGAGAGGGAGATTTCTACAAGGGTACTAAATAGTTTTGAGAGATTCATCCAGTTCTTGAATCAGGGGCAGTCAATGTTTCACTGCTGTGATATGAATGGCCATAAACGTGATCCATCTGAGTGACCCCTTTTTATTGACAGTTCCAAAATTACTTACAAAGCTGCCCTTCGTGAAAATGGAAATCGGTTACTTAGCATTCCAATGGTTCACCCAGTCCTTTGAGAATATGGTTGTGACACTTTAATTTATCAAATATATTTAGATTTCAAAGTTATAGGCCTACTTATAAACATTCAAATTGGTTTAAATTATTATATTATGTGTGTGGGACAGCCGATTCATTAAGGAACATTACCAGAGAAAACCTGGAATATGTGAGAATTAATTCATGATGAGAAAAATGAGAAACATGAACCACTTGTGAATTTTGCACATCAAGCTATGGTTAATGAAAGACTTTGAGAATGCATTGCTTAAAGATGGTGAAAGAAGAAATTTTTGTGGGACCTCAAATCCGTGAGGTGACAGAGTAGGAACTCCGAGCATATATTGCATTCAGAGACGTTTCTCACAATTTCTTAGGTAAACACAAGGCGGGAAATTACGTCGAGCTTGTGCAAGTGTTGTTGGCTTCCTATTTCAATCTTGGCTGCCTAATGTTACTGAAGCTTTATTTTCTAAGTTATCTTGATTTTTACCCGCACACCTGGAAGATGTTAGTGATGAACACGACGGGCGTTTGCTGGATGCTGCACCGTGATATAACTATCGATTACAAATAGAAGTCCCCCCAAAAAAGTTCTTTAGTTAAGGTAGAGTGGTTGTACTGTACTTACCAAAGGCCATACTTGAATTAAATTTTTTTGTTTCTGAACCAGTTGAAAGGTGAAATTTGTTGACCAGTGGAATTATCAAACGTTTGTGTTTATAGTTAAGTTAATTCTTTTTATAGAGATGTGACGATGGAAAGTTTTCAAGTGGAACGAGTTCCCTGATAGCTAGAGTGGAAAGTGACAGTAGATCGCATTTGCCTGATGGCCCATATACGGTACAGTACCACCATCTTTCGCCGATTTTTTGAGCCATTACATTGTGTTTTAAGCTAAACTGTATTATTAAGAATATTGTAAATATTTTCTACTTGGCCAAAGTTTACATTGTAATGTGGAACAAGTGCGAAGTATGATGTTGACTTCTTAACACTAGTCATCAATTTTTATCATCGATAGAAAACCACTTGTTTAACATGTGATGAAAATATACGAGGGAAGGTCAAACGTAGCAGCATTTTTATTTTTGTATTTCACACTTACATGTCACAAGATTAGAAAATGTCTAATATTGCCACATAATTAAGCAAACCAGAGGTAGCATTTTCATAATAATAATAAACTATTCATCCTTATTTAAGATCATGAAAAGTGTCAAAATTTTCGTATATTTGCTTAAATTATGAAGGGTATTTAATGTGATAATTTTGTGGCAGCCCTTGTTGTAGTTGAGTTGCCAATTCATTAAAATATTTTATTTTTAGTTATTTAAGCAAATAAACTACATTTTGGAAAATTTCATGATCTTAAATGACAATGAATAGTTTATTATTATAAAAATGCTACCTTTGGTTTGTTGAATACTTAACCTGACAGTAATACAGCCGAAAATAGATCCACCAATCACAATCACCATTACATACAGCTTTACTTTACCAAGTATTGCCAGGTAAAATTGCGAGTAAGAGACCCAGGGTAGGGTCAGTGCATCTTTGGTTAACTGTACGTTCCGATTTACGTCTTCGCCTTAACAACGTTTAGAAGTCACATTGTGCTCAGTTATATATAAACATCTATGGTCTACCTCTTATCACTTGACTTAGGATGGGATCTTGTCTCGCCAATACACTTGTCTTGGGTAGATGTTCATCCTGACTTTGACCTGTACCCTGCTTCCCTGAACACGGGGTTGCAGCAATTTTATTTCCACAAACATTAAAGGAGTTGCTCTATCACCACCACACAAACTAGGTTGATGTCTGTCTTAGCAAAACAGGAAAGGCTGAGGTGGATATACACAGTTTTTTCAAAATAACTTATTAAAAGGAAAATGCTTAAATTAATTCCTGACATTGGCCTTTATCTTGATCACATTTTATGGTTTAAGTGATGACTGTACTTTTATGAGCTTTGAACATACAACACGTCCTTTAGTTTGTTTTATAAGATAATCTATGGCTTCGAATCATTTCTCGCTGAGTAAATATTCTTTCTCATTTCAGTGTCCTAGAATGAGGTTGTAAAAACTTAATATCCTCAGAGTTTCATATGTATTGTTTCTACTACACCCCTTGGAATTAGTGTATCTTCTATTGCCAATATAAGACATGTGGTAGATAAGCAGGCAGACTTCAACCTTTCAATATGAGTGAGTAGTTGCAAGCTGTACTCATTCAGCCTGCTCAACCTGCAGTATTGCGTCTTGTCAGGCTGTCGTCTACAACATGATAAATGTGAATATTACAGAGCCTAAATCTCAGTATCTTACTTCTCACTGCTTTGTGTGTGTAAATCAAGGCATATTGTAACAAGCAAATAAGAGGAAATAGGTTGAGTAGTGCGAGACATTTGTTGGGAATAAAATGAAAGGGTTAAGATAGATTCATGCAATGGGATGTGTCTCAAAATGTTTACTATATAAAGTAAATATATAGTCCAATTTTCGTTAAACTGCGTTAAATTTAAGATAGTAGAAAAATGTGGGATTTGATGCCAGAAAAGTACAACAATCATGGACGTGTTGATGGTAATAACCGCTCCGTTAAAGCTTATTTATATAGCAGTAGAACTACATTAGTGAAAACATAACTATAGTATTTCCTATACTATTACTGAATCACTGGTAAACAATAACATTTAATCAGTACTAAACGATACACATATATGTAATAATTAATAAAGCTGCAATAGTACTCGGCATATTGAAGTGCATCAGTAGTAGTACAGTACCTGCAAAAGATGGCCATAGATAACATATTCGTATTTAACCTAGGCTAGAGATAATAGAGTTATCAGCCGTGAACACCATTATTTCACAATACTACTTGAACCAAGAGTAACAGTTTTTTATCTTAGGAATATCGTAGGAAAGATAAACTCGTTAACATTCGCTATAACCAAGTCTTATTCGGTAGCCTTCATCTTTATCACAATAAGAAAGTTATAATCTTGTGTTTACATATTACTTTGCTATACTGTGCAATATTTTCACAAGGAAAGGTGCTGGAATGTTCTGGGTGATGAAAATTACGCAAGAGGAAGTACCCTCAGGTGGTGATCCCTGATGATAGTTCTATATTAAGTTCGTGCAGGCTCTTTAAGATGCCTTTATAACTATACAAACCCAAACTCTTCACATATTGACACTGTATAAATGTATCTCACCAAAGTCCTGATTTTTCAAATAATTTTTTAATGGCACATAATTTGTAAAGGAATCGCCGTCATTTTTGTTTTCACTTATTTTACATAATGATGATCCAATTGCAAATTCGCCAAATTATAGGATATGTTTCATTTCAGATAATTAAATTATTACGTTTTTTTCTGCAAAAGCCACATGGGAAAGGCCTCCATGATAAAGACAAGTCCTGCAAGGCCAGAGCCCAAAAGGAGGAGCAAGTATGCTCCCTGCAGGTGTGTGATGGTGAGAGCCTTGATGCCACTGTCTGACTTTGTCTTCTTCTGAGACTGTTCCTCCTCCTGTTGCTGCGTCCGTTGTTGCTGCTGCCTCCTGCGGCTATTCATCTGGACTTGGTACAACAGGTCTTTGCTCCATTTCTCATACAGTCCAGCCTATTGAGCAGATTAGATATGAGAACCCACACTTATTCTGAGTCGTGATAAACATGCCTGATACATTTGCATTATGTTTATTGTAGTCATTTACAAAATATATGGTTATACAGTAAATAAAATGAGGAAAAATATAAAATTTGTTAATTGGTTGTGAAGATGGATAGTTAGAACGATCAAGGAATGAGCAGAAGACAGAAATGTAATTGGAGAAATGTAAACATGGAGGGATGTATATAGGTCTGATGATCCAGCCTCAGGTACAAGTAAAAATTATCACTCTTAAGTTACGAGTTAAAAATTTCTTCTGCCACTAACTCAGCTTAACAATCACACATGTCATGTTAGTTCATCTGGTACATTATTAACCATTATTTGACAAACCTGGGGTACTTCATACCTTTTGGTAGGCTTATAATATCGAGATGTTTTTGATACATCAGTCTGGGAAGGTCACTGTAGTAACATATGTCTACTTCATATGTGAGCTCCAGGTCTAATTTGGCTTGGATAATAGCCCTAGCTTGGGTCTCTGGCCCAGGGTACAAGTGGAGATGAACAGTGAAGACAGTGAAAGCAGGGTCTCTAAGCCTTTGTTTTCTTAATCGTTTGGAGTGTTATTTAGGATAATATGATAAATAAATGCAAGATTGAGATGCTCTGAACGGAACATGTAGTTCAAGGATAGAGGGGAAGGCGAAAAAGAGAGAGCCTCGAATAACCCAGTCAGATGAAAGAAACCAAAAGGAAGACAGAAGTTTGGGCAGAGTGTCAGGATAGTTACATATATACAAAACACCAGTCTGGAAGTGGAGGATGCTGACGACAGACCATGGTGGAGATGGATTTAAAAAATCGACCCTTGATTCTGGGATGATAAAGTAAAAACTGATTCTTGATACATAAATTTTGTATCAACAGAAGACATCTGCCTAAATTAATAACTGCAGGGTTGATTAATGGAGAACTTCTGCATATACACTCACATATATTCCATAATCCAAGCGTGTGAATGACTGACCTCAATGACAGCCATGAGGCTGCGATCTAAGACAGGCTTGTAAGGGGCATCGTGAGGAATGGGCCAGGCGGCCTGGCCAGGAAGGATACTTTCCCGACCAATGTATAATTTGGGGGTCCCATCCGTCTTGGTGAACCTCTCTGCTATCTTCAGCTGCTGGTAACGTCGGTTTTCCAAGTGTGCTTGTCTGCGTCACATAATACTTCAAGATAAACAGTAGATCCTGAAGACCTACAACAAATGATATGCTATAAGGATACTGGCCTTAACGGGAGAACACTCTTAGTTTGAGGGAATATTTTGATTGATCTTAAGCCCCGTCCACACGATCGAGCCGTGCCCGGCGGGCTTTGCACGTTTACCGGGCAAAGCCTGTGTGTTGTCGTACACACGGGGGTGGTTGGCGGCAGTCATAGTCGGGCGCCGGTAGCTAGTAGGTGGTCGGCGGTGGTGGGTGCGGTACGATCACCATGGTGTGTCGCAGGAATAATCGCCGGACAGTTAAAGCGAAGAGCATAGCGTTGTGTACTATAATAATTGCTGCTATGTGCTAAAAGAAGAACCAAATGCAGAAAAGGGAAATGGTGCAAAGAGTGGTTAGGTCGAAGAAAAGTATATGGAAGTCATGCCACGATTTTACGTGAACTGCAAGATGGACATGAGCAAAACTTCACCAATTACATGAGAATGGACCCCAACACCTTTTACAAACTTCAAGCGAAAGTGGAACCATATATAAAAAAACAGGATACCAATATGAGGACGAGTAGATCTGCAGAGGCTCGTCTGGAGGCAACGCTCATATATCTTTCATCTGGGCGCACCTACACGTCACTTCAGTATAGAACGAGGATATCAAAACTAAGTTTGTCTCGCATAATACGTGCAAATTGTCAAGCCATGTATGAAGTACTCAAGGAAGATTACTTGCAGGTGAGATTTGTAGTACATAAAAATTCATTGAATAATGTTAGAATTATGATATGCATAGACAGGAAACTATGGGACTAGAGTGAGGAGAGCGGCAGGAACGAAGAACACACACGAATGTCGTCATTACATAATACATAAACAATCTCCCGTTTAGTGTCACGCCAATACTGTACATTGCATAAGCTTATTTGGTTATACACTGGACATCTGGACCGAGCGGGGAACATATACGTGTCACATTTGCAGTACTTAACTCGGGTTAAGTATCTCTGTTCATACCTCACCGACTTGAGGACCCCGACCCCAAGGTCTGCGGTGACGTAGTGATCAGCTGTTTTTGACAGTCACGTGAGGTTCCAATAATAACACGTGTCTTGTATTGCAGGCTTGTGTAATGTTGAATATTAATGACAATATTATAGGAATGTCGGTTTTCTAGTTTTATCTTTTGTCTGGCAGAATCGTCGCTCCATATCCGGCAGCAAACTACCAGGCAGGCGGACCATGATTTCGCTCAACGACGGGCACAGGCATTCCACTGGTTTGCCCGCCAATTTTGCCAGATAACGGGCATTTAGCGCCTGCCCGCCGGGCACTGCTCGATCGTGTGGACGGGCCTTTAGAATCTTCAGAGTATTTGTACTAATAATAGTATGAAAGTGGATTATCCAAACCCTAATATACGCGAAAGGACAAAATGAATAAACAACTTATTATTATTGGAATAGTATTTTAAAGCTGACACTTCAGGTTTCTTGGGTCCTCACAAAAATGATGATTTACTGTACTCATTACGGTCACATGCAGCGTCGCGCACACGAAGCATTGGACAACATTTTTATAATACAATTTTACTGTGTGGAGTAAGCTGAGTAAATCATATTTTCAAAATTTCATAATTAAAAATTTAGACTTATCGCTTGTTAACCTTCCTATAAAGAGTGTAAAATATAGGTAACAAGTAGGAGTGTTTTTGTGGGAGCTAGTTATTAATGCCACTGGTTGCTCACGCATCTTCACTATAAAAAAAATCAACCATACTTTACAAAATTCAACTATTGCAATGACTACATTTTGAGTTATAAATTCATCGATTAACCGCAAATACCAGATTATTACAGACTGAGTCACAATTTTACCACAAGAATAATAATTTATGGTTTCCGTAAGCGAAATAAAAAACAAACATATTTCTTTTAATACACCGTATGACCTTCCTGACTTTAATGATTCCGCAACAGATCTGTTTTATTATGGTATATATATATATATATATATATATATATATATATATATATATATATATATATATATATATATATATATATATATATATATATATATATATATATATATATATATATATATATATATAGAGGAACTTAACTTCTGTTCTTCCCATTAAGAGAAACATCTTACTTCTTCTGAATGGCTTCTTGTTGTCCGACTGTTGATGGAACCAAGTGAATTCTTTCGGCCAGTTTTTGGAACACCTGTGAGTCTGACTTGCTGAAGAAATTTTTGAATTCTGCTCCGTATGGTGGCATCGTTATCCTGTGAGATTTTTGTTAAATTATAATTTTGTTTGTATATATTTGTCGATGGAGAGCAGATGTTACACTATTTTTATAGAATGTGTTTGAGTGTGTGAGTGGAAAGGGGGGGGGGTGAGTACTACCTGTCAGTAGTAGCAACGAGTTGTTCAAGTGTCTCAGTTCGGGGTGGGTACTTCGTTAGCGTGAGGTAGGAGGTGAGGTTGCCACGGTAAGCAGTCCCGATTACAAGAGAAAACACCAGCCAGGCTGCCACCAGTACACGGCTTGAGTTGGTCCTGGGCAGTCGTCGTGGAAGATTCTGCCCTAACAACATCCCAGTACAGTCATGCACCACCACCGCTGCCTCTATCCCGCTCTCGCCATCCCTCCACTCACTCCCACGAATAATCTGTCGTTAACATCACGTATCAGAGATTTACTTACATCGACACTTATTGTGCAGGTAACATGTAACAGTTATTGTGAGCGATCTGTCAGTGCAGGGAAACGAATTTGAAGCTAGTAGATGATTGTCAACTATTATAATATTTATGTAGTTTGAAAATTAGTATCGTGTTAATGGGACGTATATCAGGAGACCTTTACTGATATAAAAAAATATTTTAGGAAATATTCCATCACTGGTTATTACGAAGAGAATATTGAATCATTGATCTTTCAAAACGATTTATTCTCATCCACAATAAGAAAATTGTTGCAGTGCAAACAAATGTACATAAATTCATTGTCAAGTTAAACTCGAAGCAACTAGAAATCATATCGAATAAGTCCTCAATAACATGAACAATACGGTTGCAACGTTTGTTACTAAAGTTTGCAAAAGTAGTTACTTATTAAGCAAAGATTATTTACTTACCTCATAATTTCATAATTATAAATGAGACACGAAAAAATATCACTTGGGTAATCAGGAAGTAGTCTGTATTTTATCTATCATCTCTCCCTAGCCCTGTGGTTGAACATTGTGTGGTTGATTATAAGATCACACTGGGGTTGGCGAGTCCCTGGAAGTACTTCTAAAACATTTGGCAAAGTGACCGACCAATTAATATTGTCAGGATTTAGTTAAACTTAATGAGGCTGAACTTGAAGGCGTGACCCCGTAAAACGAACACTCCTGATATGATTGTCTTTGTCTTTGGTAAAGTTACCTCTAAAATCTGTTTGATTCTGAAAAATGAATGGTAAAATATTCATAGGAAACACTTAGAGGCTCCGACCAACTGTGGTCAAACGGGAATAACGCTATTCCTGTATGTCCTGCATGGTACATATAGATATACAGTAATTTTATTGTCTAGTTCTTACTGGTCTACCGGGATATTTACACTGCAACGTCCATTAACCTGTGCCTCACTTAAACTAGAATAACTTGTTTTGAGAACTGTCATCCCGTCTGGTCCCGAGATATATTAGACACTGTCAGTTGATTGAAAACGTCTGAAGAGGGCCACCAGGCCGGTGCCTGCAATCCGGCATCTCAGGTACCAGAGGTTAGAATATCAGCAGTTACCTAACTTATACTATAGATGGGTAGCTAATGGGTGACTGAATAGAAGTCTATAAACACCTCGGAAGACGTTACTCAGTCGAGTGTTCATACCTGGAACAAGCGGATGCCGACCCATTTTAGTTCATAGCCTGAGGATAAAGACCGAACAAGTTCAGAAAATTGTCAGGGCAAACTTTTTGGAGTGAGTATTGTGAACTCTTGGAATCGTCTGTGACGGATGTGACACTAACTGGCCGATTTTTTGCCCCTCAGAAACATACCCGGCAACGTCGGGTTCCCCAGGTAGCTGAAACTAAATTGGAAATTCCTCTCACCAGCAGCAGGACCACAGGGGTGAACAGCAGCGCCAGCAGGACAGCGACCCACACCAGGTCAGTGAGCGGGTAGTAGAGCGACTGCCACTGTGGTTTGATACCAGGCTGGGCCATACTGAAGTCCAGGGACGCGTACTCGTACACCCAGGAGTAGTCGAAGTGTTCAAGACGTTTTGGTAACAGGGTGTGGTAAACTGTAGCTATATAAGACACCCTTTCCTCCACAAGCTTTTCAACCTGCCAATATAATTATACACATATTCTCAACATTACAAAAGAGTTATATATTATGTGTGTATGTTACCTCTTCATAATGTAATCATTTAATTATCATGCTTCATTTTCACCCCTACTTAAAGGGGTGGCATAAAAATGCATGGCCGGTACGTTAAAGAATATTGTATTATTGATTTAACTAAATAATTGTTCCTTACAAGGTCAGACCGAGCATCAGGGTGGGTCTTGCCCTGGGAGCACAGCCTTTATAATAACGTATGTATTTTACCAGGTAGTGTAGGACAAAGATATTTGAAAGATATTTATTCAAAAGTTACTTTTGTGTATGTAAATCAAAGTTACATTCAGATGTAATGTGTTACTTATACTCACAACAGAAGAGAAGGTCTCTGGCAAACACAACTGTGTTGTTAAAATAATTATTAGTTTCCATTTTCTAATGTGGCTGACTTTATATAATCTGATATTCAGTTTTCTGTGAATCCTTAAGTATCTTATGCGCGACTGAAACACAACATACCGTCAACGACAACCATTACAACACGGTGACACTAGACCATGTCCTGTGAATACACGTGTCCAGTTATGTTTAATTATTCACATTTGTAGCCTTATTTGGAGTATCTTTAATGTACAGTAGGCTATATACTTTCTCATACAGAAGACCACTTGATAGCTTAGGTTGATTGATATTTAGTGTTACTTACTGTATGTATTATAATAACTCATGACCTCCACGTCACCAGCAGAGAGTTCATAGAGGAGATGGCTTCGTCTGTCTGTCCGACTATCCGTTTGTCAGTCTGTCCTTCCTTCCGTGAAACTTCCTTATCTCTATGTCTAATTTAACCAAATTTATGAAGAAGCAATATATCCTTAAGCTCGTAAATGACTTCGTGTTTCAGCAAATACTGACTTTATTTTGACGGAGTTACAACAGTTTAATCGTACGAATTGTGTATAATGATGGTATATGTTTATGTTATTTGATGAATGTTTATTATTAAAAGAACCTGACAGTGGTGCTTACGAGTTACCTAAACTGATAAATGAATGTATAAGGAACGTGCAAGAAAGAACTTTACTCTAAAAGGCTTTAGTTTTCTTGGAGAACTTCCCGGACAGGAATGAGAGCCAAGAGACGGTACACTACATCTTCATATTTAAGGATATTTAAAGTTATAAATAATGTTCATATGTTGTTTCCCACCTCTGCCCAGTTGGCGGTAGGTATGACGTAGATGGTGAAGTTGAGAGCGTCAGCAATGGTCGCCAGCAACATGTAGTCAGTGCCGGAGTACTGTGTCGTGTTGTCAGGTCCCTTCACCTCATCCCAGAACGGTGGGAACGGTAAGGCGGTCACGTTCACCTGGGCCCCGTAGAAGCTGAGGGTGCACATGATATCGTCCTCAATTGTAAGTAAATACTTTTGGAAAAAAAAGAGCCCTATGATTTAGGTTTGCTTCGTATACAAATAAATTTAATAATTCTATGTTAAACAGAAAAGATGATAGCTTGTGAAATATTATTTGTATATTTTGTTTTGGAATCATTATTACAGGCAATACCTACAATAACGAGTTATATTTTAAATGATACGAATAAGAAAGTCTTAAATCGAAACATGTAATTTAAGTGAGGCACATGTCGTGTCTTCGTGAATAAGCAACTCCTTTACCGATTGTTTTTTGACTACGTAGTAAACAGTGACTGATCAAAGAACATAGTGGCTGGGCTGCTCCAAGAAAATTTATAACCGTATTCAAACAATCTGAACAATGATGAAATTTGCGCCAAGAAGTGTCCACTTGAAGTTAAACCTGCTCCGTTTTCATGCTACTGTACTGGGCTGGGAGGATGTTTGTTAGTATCCTACAGCGAGCATAAGAAATGGTGGACTCTGTCGGTGTTACTCTATTAGCGTTTTTGTTATGCAATTAGCAGGTCTAGGGCATAATCTTACAGTGGGAAAATCCCAAACTCCCTCAGCACCCTTAGTATAATTTGTAGTGATTAGAATAAAAGCCTAGATGACATTTCAATCCGTCAAAAACCTAAAGATGAGCAGTTTCACTGTCAGTTGAGGTAGTTGATTATATGTTCAAAGTCCGCGTGATATATGGACGAAAAATGAAGTATATATGGTACTTCGTGTTTCATACCAGCTGGATTCGGTAAAATGCTTCTGACATCCACATAAGCAGCACGGGCAGTTCCCAATGGGAGGTTCATGGCGCCATCAGCTCGATGAACAGGCTTTGTGTGAAATATAACATAGTCTAGAACTGCTTTTAGTGCTCTTGTGGTATGGTCGGTAACTTCCCCTAGTCCCACGCAGTAGGTCGAGGGTTCGAGTCCTGGCTGGTGAGGTAGTTGATTATATGTTCAAAGTCCGCATGTTATATGGACCAAAAATGAAGTATATATGGTACCTCGTGTTTCATACCAGCCGGATTGGGTAAAATGCTACTGACATCCACATAAGCAGCACGGGCAGTTTCCAATGGGAAGTTCATAGCGCCATCAGCTCGATGAACAGGCTTTGTGTGAAATATAACAAAGTCTAGAACTGCTTTTAGTGCTCTTGTGGTATGGTCGGTAATGTTACCTAGTCCCACGCAATAGGTCGAGGGTTTGAGTCCTGGCTGGTGAGGTAGTTGATTATATATATATATATATATATATATATATATATATATATATATATATATATATATATATATATATATATATATATATATATATATATATATATATATATATATATATATATATATATATACGCATAATTACTTGGAGAATTTACAGGAGAATAGAGAACTGTCCGGTTTTGGGACGAGGCCGCGTTCCGGCAACCAGGAGGCAACTCTCACCACCTGGGCTCCCTCTGGACTGTATGGCAGGTGGGTGTACATCCTGACCCTGTCCATGGCATGAGAAACATTGTATTAATAACTGAATCTTTATGTTACAGGTTATCACAGAAATCTTTTCATAATACATTGATATTTATAACTACCTTCACTTTTACCATAAGATGTTCGACTGTATATTGAATATGATTATTAAAAAAATTCAATGAAGTTCATATTATGACCATCTAAGCATTAGGCTAGAATAACATGAATTGTATATATTACCTGCGGTTGGTGTGTGTGTCCTCCAGGTTGAGCAAGATGGTGTTCATTGTGTATATTACCTGAGGTTGGGTGGTGTGTCCCCCCTGTTGAACAAGATAGTGTTCATTGTGTATATTACCTGAGGTTGGGTGGTGTGTCGTCCAGGTTGAACAAGATGGTGTTCATTGTGTATATTACCTGAGGTTGGGTGGTGTGTCCTCCAGGTTGAACAAGATGGTGTTCATTGTGTATATTACCTGAGGTTGGGTGGTGTGTCATCCAGGTTGAACAAGATGGTGTTCATTGTGTATATTACCTGAGGTTGCGTGGTGTGTCCTCCAGGTTGAACAAGATGGTGTTCATTGTGTATATTACCTGAGTTTGGGTGGTGCGTCCCCCCTGTTGTACTAGATAGTGTTCATTGTGTATATTACCTGAGGTTGGGTGGTGTGTCCTCCAGGTTGAGCAAGATGGTGTTCATCATGGAGAAGGTCCAGTGGGAGGACAGGAGGGCGTGGAGCTGTGGGAGTGGGAGGCTGGTGACCACCAGCAGCTTGGTGGCCCACACCAGGAGGCGGCCCTTGAGGGACCACTCCGCGAAGGTGTCGAGGAAGACCGGGTCGTGACTCACCACCACCACCCGCACACACCGAGACTCCATCCTCACCTGTGTACGACCGGATCCTTACTAACCTTTACCACCATCCTCACCTGTGGCTTGTGGTGTTCATGTTTCACCACCACTATTACATGCACCTGTGATAATTACCTGACTTTTTTATTCTTAATTGTAATTTGAGAGTGAATTGCCCTCAAGGGCTGCAACGAGAAAGGAATACGACTTACGTACAAGGCTCGTAATATAAGTGGCCCCCTTACATAAGTGTGTACAGTGTATTTCACATCATAGTGGAATCAATATTGCCATGTGCACCTGTATCAAGGTAATGTGTGAATATGCACTATCAGTAAAAATACAAGAGCTAAAAATGATCTAATCTTTTAAAGGTAACATATATATATATATATATATATATATATATATATATATATATATATATATATATATATATATATGAAGCATAAAATCTATAAAAGGAGAGATAATTAATTAATAAGGCGCATTGCTTAAAATGTTATGTTTAATATGACAGAGATGTCATAATCGCTGAGGGTATGCACGGCATCACCCCTAAAGTTGCAGTAATATACTGAACATACTTTTTAGTGAAGCATAAATCATAATCACTGTAAATATTTATTGAGGTCTGACCCTATCAAATATTACCACAATAAAAATAACTTGCGTTCGATTTATATCCCACCAGGGGCAGCGTGGAACAAAAGTCAAGATGTTATATTCACTTTTCCTCCATTAGATTTAAAACGATGTATTAAAAGTAAAGAGGAGAGCCGGAGGTGTATTTCCGTTGATGAGTTCAGTTGCGTGGCCCTACATACCATCAGGAATCAGCTAAATAAATCTGGCTCAGTTCTTCAGACTAATCCAGCTAAACCCTGACAGAACGAGCGCCATATATGGATCAGGTTGGACGTCAGGTTAAGTTGAAGAGAAGATCAGTTGGTATCCTTTTGTAGGAAAAAGTCAAGGAGGATATCTTGGTTGCCTTAAACTTTATATTAGCTGAGTGACTACCCGTGGAACCTTGTGAAACAGGTGCGAAACTGAGATTCCTGTGGAACCTTGTGAAACAGGAACGGGGACATTCTTATAAAGCCTGGTGTAACAGGAACGAAACTGAATTACCTCTGGTGCAGACAGGAGAGTGACCTACCTGTCGGGCCAGCTGGAGTACACGGGAGAGTGACAAACCTGTCGAGCCTGGTGGAGCAGGCGTGCGAGCAGCACCTGGGTCTCGTTAGCTTCCTGGCTGTCTAGCACCACCTCGAACACCACCACACCCCAGGGGTTCCGTGGCACTGCACTCTCCTTCTGAGAGAAGAGATAAAAATTATACATAAATTCTACTAATTTTCCCCAAAATTGCTGGAGGGTAGAAACGGGCGTCCTTGGCAATGTAAATTGGGTAATTAAACTCCTGAAGGTTTAACCATACATTGGAAAAAAAAAAATATTATGTCCAGAGAAAGAGGGACGGAACCTTGTAACCCACCTCAGGCCTGTGTAATATATGATGGTCCAACCCTTCCTTTAAGAAATACACCAAGACCAAGGACTACAGCCCTCGGAGTTGTTTAAACAGTCAAGTGTGTAAGAGAAAAACTGCTACAAAGAAAATTTCAGATCACCCATGAGTGATCAGGAGGTTTAGTAAAACAATTAATTAATAGGAGAGTTAGAAGATATATAAGAAAACTTAAGTAAAATATTATTTGTTACATGTGATAGCAGGTAGAGGCTACATAAGAACATACGGCAGGTGAAGGCTGCATAAGAACATACTGCAGGCGGAGACTACATAAGAAAATATAGTAGATGGGGGCTACATAAGAACATACAGCAGCCGGAGGCTACATAGCATATAGCAGGTAGAGATTACATAAGAACATACAGCAGGTGGAGGTTACAAAAGCCCATACAAGATGTGATGGCTACATAAAAACATACAGCAGGCAGTGGTCTACATGACAACATATATCAGGTAGAGGGTACATGAGAACATATTGCAGGTAGAGGCTACATAAGAACATACAGCAGGTGGAGGCTACATAAGAACATACAGCAGGTAGAGGCTACATAAGAACATACAGCACGTGGAGGCTACATAAGAACATACAGCAGGTGGAGGCTACATAAGAACATACAGCAGGTGGAGGCTACACAAGAACATACAGCAGGTGGAGGCTACATAAAAACAAACATCACCTTGAGGATGGTGGAGGGTGAGGTGGTGCCATCTGTGAGGAGGATGAGGGAGCAGGTGGGCTGAGACACCGCCTCCAGCACGGCTTCCACACCACCACCTGCGACTGACAACAAATCTTCCACGCCTGGGAGAGAAGTACTGAATTATTTATTGTTATATGACAGCTGTACCAAATGTAATTATTGTGTAAGTTATGTATTACATGCAAATAGGTATAATATGCGCTGTGTGTGTTGAGTACGTCCTTTGAAGTATTGTTAATGCTGGAACTTAGAGGGATAGTTTGAATGATATATGGAAGAATTGACTATATATGTGAGAAAAGAAATACGAAAATTTAATGAAAAGTAAGTGTAAGTAGAACTTTTGTGCTAATAATTGAAATCTATTTGTAGGTATTTAGGTCAAATAGAGCAGGTAAGCTGTACTGCGTCTCAAAGATCGAATTATTACGTTTATGGTAATATGTGCAGAGGTCCTTTTCCATGACGAAATATTTGTGTGATAACCTTTTTACGCATAAATTGGATTTAGAAATGGTATTAAAAAGTTGACAAAAGAAATGAAAGATAAAGTTAGGTTTCACTTCTTTACAGTACAATGGAGAATGTTAACTGAGCCTAAAGCTATGTTTAGATATAGTGTTGGGGAGATGTGATGCCATGTTGCAAACATAGATTGGTAAAAAGGAGGTTAACAACTGGGACTGGGAGTTTGATTATTGGCTGGCTTAAGGGTTCAGTTTTACCAAGTAAGGAGCAAGTTATAAAAATAATCCCGGCAGTGTCAACTAGAAATTGTAACTATAAACAGAAACTATATGTAGTGGTTCGAGGGTCTGGCCAGGAACACGACGAGGATTATCCTTAACCGGGCATAACTCAAGGATGATCAGACGTTTGGGTGGTTCATGACTGAGATGGGGAAGATGACTAGCGGTGAGCATGAGGTCAGTAATATTGAATAAGGGTCGCGGTAGAGTTATAGACTTATCACTTGGCAATAGGTTGGTCATCAATTTGGTGTTGCTACATACCAGAGGAACCAAGCTGCGGGAGGATGCTGGCAGCGGCTGTGGTGACCACCACCATCACCAGCAACATCTCTCTGTCGCTGATAAAAATACTCAAGATTAGACTTACAACAGTGTATGGAGACCACATGAGAAAAAGTTTTTCATATTATCTGTGCACATTAATGCTAGGATAGTATATTGTGGCTTGTATTACCTAATGGATTTTAGTAGTATAGAATAAAGTTAGGTAGTTAGATTTTCTTTTACAGTGTATTGTAGTGTAAATTACTCTTCAATTATTATTCTTTTTCATCGAAGGCGTGTGCGTGTGCGTGTGCATGAGCGTCTTAGATTAAATCTTGACTGTAAATTAAAGAAATGCTGCGGCAGAGTGGATACATCTATCCCCTCCTGTGCCGAGTGTTGCTGGTTAGATCCTGGAGTAAACCCAGACCACTTATCTGCAGATAGGTACTCAACTTTATAATTGGAAAAGTGTAGGCGGTTAGAGGCAGTGCCAGTCGTGCTGCCTACTTGTGTACCGAAGTATTAGTATAAGGTGTTGTGTATCCACATTAACCCTAACGGGCCTTCATGCCTAAGGATCCATTGTTCATAAAACACATGACAAATGGTTGGCATCATCAATTTGAAACTTGTTTTAGCTCCTGTGTGATTTTATCAAGATTTATCTTATGCACGTTTCCATTGTGGATCTACGCTAAGAAGTACTCTAGTGCTTGTGTATAATTATTGATTCCGCCTGTAGTGTTGGAAGGAATAGAAGTGTTTACTTTTACCAGTGCGTCTCATATATATATATATATATATATATATATATATATATATATATATATATATATATATATATATATATATATATATATATATATATATATATATATATATATATATATATATATATATATATATATATATATATATATATATATATATATATATATATATATACTATATATAATATAATATATATATATATATATATATATAATATATATCATAAGGAAATAATAATACCTTATATTAGCTTTATTCATTATCCTATATATCTTGAGTAAAGACGAAAGCTAAGGTGCTCAGTTGTTTCCCTTTTCCCGTGTGATTTTATCAAGATTTATCTTATCCAGATTTTCATTGTGGATCTACATGAAATATGTATATATATATATATATATATATATATATATATATATATATATATATATATATATATATATATATATATATATATATATATATATATATATATATATATATATGCTGATAACCACAAGGAAAGAAGAAAACACGAAGTTCCCTTAACACAATCCAGAGGAGTGGTGACCCGAGGATCACACACCCAACACAGACAAAACCAAATACGTGCGCTATGCGCTAACCAAATAAACGCAGTCGTGTAAAGCCACGGTACTATCTCTCCCACTACATTTCCCTTCCTCACCTCCTGCTCCTTCCTCTGTCATCTTACCCGCTCTGCCTTTCGCTACCAACAACTTTTGGAGCTTTTAAACTTGGAACGAAGTTCCCAAGCGCTTTCGTGTAATTCACATCATCAGGGGTAAGTACAGACTAAGGAGAAGTACAAGACAAGGTATATATATATACAGAGGAGGGTGAAGTCCACAATGGTCAGGTCGGAAAATCAATTTCCATCATCAGAGCCTTGAAAACGGACAAGATGTTTGTTTGTTCCCTGGTTCTCCTCTTCATTATGAAAGTACGGTTTCCACGAAACAAGTTTGTTGCTGAAGTTAAATATTCATAGTTAAAAAATCAAAAGGGATAAAGTAATACAGTTTGATGCATCATATTCCTTAGTTGATCGAGTTTTTTCTTGACAGGTGCAGTGGATTTAAGTAGAATTTCATCTAAATCGAGGGAATCGGTCATTTTATTCAAAGGACTGCAGTCGTATTAAAGAGATAAGTCACTGTACTCAAGGGGTGAAGTCATCATAGTCCTTGTGTTTGGGGGTTGAATTTGCATGCAAGGTATTCTAATATCAAAAGAAAAGTGTTGACTTCGTAATCAAGGGGTTGTCATCGTGTCCAAGGTGCTGTCATCGTAATGAAGGGGATTTCATTGTACTAAAGGGGTTGTTATTGTACTGAAGGAGTTATCATAGTATTCAATGTTATAAGACTGCTGAAGTTTTCACGACAGGAATGATAATCATGTGTTACCCAACTGTTCACCATTATTCCTCTTCACTCACACGGTTCGTCTTCCACTTTCTCACATGTTCACCCTCGTTAAGGGATTATGTTTAAAAGTGTAATCGAATGACGAAAAGTTTTATAATGCTTAGATTTTCAAACAATAAATATTGTCATTAAAATCTAATATATAATTATTGGCTGCAAGTAGGGGTGGGGACAAGTATTGGTAATGGAAATGGACATAGCACGACACAGCAGTCAGTTTGGTGACCAGCACGACGCAACACTTATTCAAGTGTGTAGCACGACGCAGCAGTCAGTTTATTAGGTGTGCGGCACGCAAAAGAGATGTCCTGCTGACCCACGGGATACAGACCATCTCCAACAACCATATTTACTCTCAATCAACAATAACTAAAGTAACACTCATAACCACTGTAAACACCACTGAAAGTCACTCATCGTTAAATACACAACATCTAAGGCGAGGAGCAGCACTTACACTTGTGGAGTTCCTTACTCAACTATCATATACTGTTTGTGGCTGTGGCTTCACCAACAACACGCACGGATGACCTCAGAGACTGATGTCCCACCACGATCCGCTACTCACTGTCTCACACGCATCCCACATGTTTATATAAGTAGCCTCATCACCAACGCGCGTGCGTTAGCTCCTTAGTAATCGGGCGCTTCGAGTTTTATTACCGGCTTGTCATGGCTGGTGGATGTGAAGCGGTGAGTCAGACTTTCGGAGATATTCATAGGGTTAAAAGCTAAAGATACGAAGAATACTTCATGTAGGGCGATTCATAACACATATAATATAAATTTAAGTAGTAATTGAAACTTGTGTTTGATAGTTTAAAAAAATTTGATGCAGAAAAGAAGAAAAGAATATCTATTTAATTTTATGAGACAGTGGCAAGTGTGTTTGTGTGGGTGTTCGTGTGAGTATGCGTGTGTCCTGTGTTTATGTAAGTATGTGCGTTTTTGTACTCTTTTTTTTTACTGAATTTGCATTTGTGTACGGATTTATTTTCGAGTATACACGTACGTGTGTATGTGTGTGTGTGTGTGTGTGTGTGTGTGTGTGTGTGTGTGTGTGTGTGTGCTCGTAATGTAGTTACGGAGAAAATATGTTATAATTTAGAGACATTACAGTATATTGTTTGACTTATTACTTTGTCATATATTTTATAATCTAAAATTTACTAACACTAAAATGAATGACACAGCTGACTTATATTACCAATAGCGTTCTTGGAAGGAGGTGGTAGGCACTAGGTGGTGGTAATGGTGGATGATGGTAGCTGGATGGTGATTGTAGTTGGTTGATGGTTGTAATCTTTGGGTGGAGGTTGTAATGGATGGGTAGTGTTACCTATTGAGTGATGATAGATGAGTGATATTAGTATAACATGAATGGTTTTAGTGGGTTTGTGATGTCGACAAGAAACTAGTGGTAGTAAGTAGTTGATGGTGAGGGTAGAGGCGGGGGTGAGCACAGGTAGCGTTAGTGTAGGGACACAACACGAGGCAGCAGTCAGTCATGGTAGATGTTCCAGTTAAGATTGACCTCCGGGAAACACTCTACCTCCACCACAACCACATTATTGTGTGGAGTCCAGAGTACAATGCCCCTTCGGGTTACTCTACTCTTCTAGGTTACAGTGTCCCTTCAGGTTACTGTGCCCCTCCAGGTTACTCTGCCCCTCCAGGTTACTGTGCCTCTCCTAGTTACTGTGCCCCTCCAGGTTACTCTGTCCCTCCAGGTTACTGTGCCTCTCCAGGTAACTGTGCCCCTCCAAGTTACTGTGCCCCTCCAGGTTACTTTGCCCCTCCAGGTTACTGTGCCTCTCCAGGTAACTGTGCCCCTTCAAGTTACTGTGTCCCTCCAGCTTGCTGTGTCCTTCCAGGTTACTGTGTCCCTGCAGGTTACTGTGTCCCTTCAGGTTACTGTGTCCCTCCAGGCTACTGTACCTCTCCAGGTTACTGTGTCCCTCCAGGCTACTGTACCTCTCCAGGTAACTGTGCCCCTTCAAGTTACTGTGTCCCTCCAACTTGCTGTGTCCTTCCAGGTTACTGTGTCCCTGCAGGTTACTGTGTCCCTTCAGGTTACTGTGTCCCTCCAGATTACTGTGTCTCTCCAGGCTACTGTGCCTTTCCAGGTTACTCTACTCCTCCAGGTTACTGTGTCCCTCCAGATTACTGTGCCTCTCCAGGTTACTGTGTCCCTCCAGGTTACTGTGTCCTCCATGGTACTGTGCCCCCCCGGGTTACTGTGCCTCAAGGCGGAGAGTTTCTAAGAAATGACGTCAGAGTTTAGAATCTAGCGAAAGAGGCCGCAAGAGACCGTGCAGCTTGGGTGGGCTGCCATCAGGTAATATCGTAGAATGCACGCGTGGAAAATGGGAGTACAACTTATTTGGCTCAAAGCGAGAGGGAGATTTCTGCAAGGGTACTAAATAGTTTTGAGAGATTCATCCAGTTCTTGAATCAGGGGCAGTCAATGGTTTACTGCTGTGATATGAATGGCTATAAATGTGATCCATCTGAGCGACCCCTTTTTATTGACAGTTCCAAAATTACTTACAAAGCTGCCCTTCGTGAAAATGGAAATCGGTTGCTTAGCATTCCAATGGTTCACCCAGTTATCTTAAAGTCCTTTGAGAATATGGTTGTGGTATTTGAATTGGTAAAATATATTTAGATTTCAAAGTTATAGGCCTACTTATGAGCATTGAAAGTGGTTTAAAATATTATATTATGTGTGTGGGACAGCCGATTCGTTAAGGAACATTACCAGAGAAAAACTGGAATATGTGACAATTAATACATGGTGAGAAAAATGAGAAACATGAACCACTTGTGAACATTGCACATCAAGCTATGGTTAATGAAAGACTTTGAGAATGAATTGCTTAAAGACGGTGAAAGAAGGAATTTTTGTGGACCTCAAATCCGTGGTCTGACAGAGTAGGAGGAACTCCGAGCATATATTGCATTCAGAGACGTTTCTCACAATTTCTAAGGTAGCCACAAGGCGGGAAATTACGTCCAGCTTGTGCGAGTGATATTGGCTTCCTATTTCAATCTTGCGCCTAATGTTATTGAAGCATTATTTTCTAAGTTAATATCTCAGTTTTTACCCACACACCTGGGAGATGTTAGTGATGAACACGACGGGCGATTCCATCATGGAGAATTGCTTCGAAGAAAATATAATATTTTCACTATGGCGGACGTTTGCTGGATGCTGCACCGTGATATATCTATCGATTACAAATGGAAGTCCCCCCAAAAAATTCTTTTAGTTAAGGTAGAGTGGTTGTACTGTACTCATCAATAGCCACTCAGACTAACTATTCATGTACCGTCTGCAATAGTTTGGCATCTAGTTTTCGCTTCTACGGATGTAATTTATATAAACAATACTAAGTTTACATTTAAACTCGGCATACTTGAATGGGATATTTTTTGTTTCTGAACCAGTTGTAAAGGTGAAATTTGTTGACCAGTGGAATTATTAAACATTTGCGTTTATAGTTAAGCTAATTCTTTTTATAGAGATGTGACGATGGAAATTTTCAAGTGTTACGAGTTCCATGGGCCTGATGGCCCATATACAGTACCACTATTTTTTGCCGATATTTTTCTACCAATGCATTGTGTTTTAACCTAAACTGTATTATGAAGAGAATTGTAAATATTTTCCACTTGGCCAAAGTTTACATTGTACTGTTGAAAAAGTGGGAAGTATGATGTTGACTTCTTACACATTAGTCATCAGTTTTTATTGTATATAGAAAAGGTCTAATATTGCTACATAATGAACCTGCCTTTTAAGACACATGATTCAGCGGTACACAAATTTTATATATACTGTAAAGTACCATCAGCAACAAAGTTTTTGGCTGTGTGAAGCCACATATTCACCGCCTCATCGTCGTCGTCGTCATTGGTATATTGGCGGCCTCTCAAAGTGTTCTTTCAGAGGTCTAACAGATGATAATCGGATGGGTCAAGGTGAATGATCAAAAAACTTAAAGTTCAACTACTTAATAACTTGATTATCCGATGGCGAGTTATGAAAATCTTTGAAGGAGGAGGAAACATATACTTTTATTGCAAACTCTGCCATTTATTTTCAGGCTCGAAACGTTGGCATACTTAAAGGTATTTTGTTAAGAGAACCATTTCATGTTCTTGCAAATTTCAACCCATTCGTATTCCACCATAGCAAAACTTGATTACCATACCATACCATACCACACCATACCATACCACACCATACCATACCATTCCATTTTGTAAAAAATATACAAATTTCCTGACCTACATGACGCCATTCACTGCAACACGACCTCGAATAATGTCCTTTGGCACCAAAGCATGTAGTATGGATCAGATGTACTGTTTGTACAGTCAACCAAAGATACACTGACGCCACCCTGGGTCACGTACAGTCACCCAAAAAAGTCCTGTCGCGAACCATGAACCCCGAGATTCAGACTCTTGAATCCGAAGGATTTAATGTATCAGTGTCTTCTGCTTCGGGTTCATGAGTCTGAATCTCGGGGTTCGTGGTTCGCGACAGGACTTTTTTGGGTGACTGTACTCGCAATTTTACTCGGCAATACTTGGTGAAGTAAGGCTGTATGAAATGGGATAGATTGGTGGATCTATTTTCAGCTGTATCACTGTCAGGATAATTATTAAACAAACCAAACGTAGCATTTTTATAATCATAAACTATTCAGTGTTATTTAGGATCATGAAAAGTATCAACATTTTCGCAAATTTGCTAACTAATGAAGGAAATTTGATGTGAAAATCTTGTGGCAGCTGTGGTTGTAATTTAGTCACCAATTCATTAATATATTTTCTTCATAATTTAAGCAAATATACGAAAACTTGGGAACTTTTCATTATCGTAAATGGCAATGAATAGTTTATTATTATAAAAATGCTACCTTTGGTTTGTTTAATACTTAACCTGACAGTAATACAGCCGAAAATAGATCCACCAATCACAGTCACCATTACATACAGCTTTACTTTACCAAGTATTGTCAGGTAAAATTGCGAGTAAGAGACCCAGGGTAGGGTCAGTGCATCTTTGGTTAACTGTACGTTCCGATTTACATCTTCGCCTTAACAACGTTTAGAAGTCACATTGTGCTCAGTTATATATAAACTTTTATGCTCTACCTCTTATCACTTGACTTAGGATGAGATCTTGTCTCGCCAATACACTTGTCTTGGGTAGATGTTCATCCTGACTTGACCAACCCTGCTTCCTCAACACGGGGTTGCAGCAATTTTATTTCCACAAACATTAAAGGAGTTGCTCTATCACCACCACACAAACTAGGTTGATGTCTGTCTTAGCAAAACAGGAAGGCTGAGGTGGATATACACAGTTTTTCAAAATAACTTATTAAGGAAAATGCTTAAATTAATTCCTGACATTGGCCTTTATCTTGATCACATTTTATGGTTTAAGTGATGACTATACTTTTATGAGCTTTGAACATGCAACACGTCCTGTAGTTTGTTTTATAAGATAATCTATGGCTTCGAATCATTTCCCGCTGAGTAAATATTCTTTCTCATTTCAGTGTCCTAGAATGAGGTTGTAAAAACTTAATATCCTCAGAGTTTCATATGTATTGCTTCTACTACACCCCCTGGAATTATTAATATCCTGTTGCCAATATAACACATGTGGTAGACAAGCAGACAGACTTCAACCTTTCAATATGAGTGAGTGGTTGCAATCTATACTCCTTTAGCCTGCTCGACCTGCAAAGTTGTGTCCCGTCAGACTGTCATCTACAACATGGTAAATGTGAATACTACATAGTCTATATCTCAGTATCTTACTTCTCACTGCTTTGTGTGTGTAAATCAAGGCATATTGTAACAAGCAAATAATAAGAAATAGGTTGAGTAGTGCGAGACATTTGTTGGGAATAAAATGAAAAGGTTAAGATAGATTCATGCAATGGGATGTGTTCTGAAAATGTTTACTATATAAAATTAATATATAGTCCAATTTTCGCTCTTTAAGATAAATGTATCTCACCAAAGTCCTGATTTTTCAAATAATTTGTCAATGGCACATACTTTGTAAAGGATTCGCCGCCATTTTTGTTTTTCACTTACCGGGTATTTACATAATGATGATCCTATTGCAAATTCGCCAAATTATAGATGTTTAATTTCTGATAATTAAATTATTACATTTTTCTGTAAAAGCCACATGGGAAAGGCCTCCATAATAAAGACAAGTCCTGCAAGGCCAGAGCCCAAAAGGAGGAGCAAATATGCTCCCTGCAGGTGTGTGATGGTGTGAGAGCCTTGATGCCAATTGTCTGAATGTTTTTTGAGACTCTTCCTCCTCCTCTTGCTGCGCCCATTGCTGCTGCTGCTGCCTCCTGCGGGTGTTCATCTGGACTTGGAACAACAGGTCTTTGCTCCATTTCTCATACAGTCCAGCCTATTGAGCAGATTAGATATGAGAACCCACACTTATCCTGAGTCGTGATAAACATGCCTGATACATTTGCTCTAAGTTTATTGTAGCAACTAAAATGAGGAAAAATATATATTTTTTTAATTTGTTTTGAAGATGGATAGTTAGAATGATAAAGGAATGAGCAGAAGTCAGAAATGTAGTTGGAAAATGAACATGGAGGGATGTAAATAGGTCTGATGATCCAGCCTCAGGTGCAAGTGAAAATTATCACGAGTTCAAATCTTATGCCACTAACTCGGCTTTACAATCACACAAGTCATGTCAGTTCATCAAATGCATTATTAAGTATTATTTGACAAACCGGATTTGCTTCAAACCTTTTGGTAGGCCTATCATGAGTAACCTCACCATTTTAATTTATATTTGCTCATATTAGCGGGATGATCTTGATGCAATAGTCTGGGAAGGTCACCAGTAACATACGACTTTTTCATATGTGAGCTCCAGGTCCAATTTGGCTTGGATGATAGCACTAGTTTGGGTCTCTGGCCCAGGGTACAAGTGGAGATCAACAGTGAAGACAGTGAAAGCAGGGACTGTAGACTTTTGTTTTCCTAAAGGGTTGGGAGTGCTATTTGGTGTAATAAGACAAGAGAGGCAAGGCTGAGATGGTTTGAACTGAACGTGTAGTTCAACGAGAGAGGGAAGGAAAAAGAAAGTCTGGATTAACCCAGTCAGAGGAAAAACCAAGGGAAGACAGAAGTTTGGACAGTGGGTCGGGATTGATACATATATACAAAACACTAGTCTGGGAGTGGAGGATGCTGAAGACAGAACATGGTGGAGATGGATTTAAAAATTCGACCCTTGATTCTGGGAATGCCAAAGCAAAGACTGATTCTTGATACATAAATCTTGTATCAACAGAAGACATCTGCCTAAATTAAGAACTGCAGGGTTGTATAATGGAGAACTTCTGCACATACACTCACATAATCCAAGCGTGTGAATGACTGACCTCAATGACAGCCATGAGGCTGCGATCTAAGACAGGCCTGTAAGGGGCATCGTGAGGAATGGGCCAGGCGGCCTGTCCAGGAAGGATACTGTCCCGACCAATGTATAATTTGGGTGTCCCATCCGTCTTGGTGAACCTCTGTGCTATCTTCAGCTGCTGGTAACGTCGGTTTTCCAAGTGTGCTTGTCTGCGTCACATAATACATCAAGATAAACAGTAGATCCTGATGACCTACAACAAAGGATATGCTATAGTGATACTGGCCTTAACGGGAGAACACTCTTAGTTTGAGGGAATATGTTGATTGATCTTACAAACTTCAGAATATTTGTACTAATAATAGTATGAAAGTGGATTATCCAAACCTAAAACGCGAAAGGACAAAATGCATTAAACAACTTATTATTATTGGAATAGTATTGTAACGCTGACACTTCAGGTTTCTTGGGTCCTCACAAAAAGGATGATTTACTGTACTCATTACGGTCACATGCAGCGTCGTGCACACGAAGTATTGGAAATTTTTTACAATAAAATTTTACTGTGTGGAGTAAACTGAGTAAATAACATTTTCAAAATTTCATTCCTAAAAATCTAGACTTATCGCTTGTTAACCTTCCTATAAAGAGTGTAAAATATAGGTAACAACTAGGAGTGTTTTTGTGGGAGCTAGTTATTAATGCCAGTGGTTGCTCACTCATCTTCACTATAAAAAATCAATCATACCATATAAAATCCAACTATTGCAAGGACTACATTTTGACAGTTATAAATTCATCGAATAACAGCAAATACCACATTATTACAGACAGTCACAATTGTATACAAGAATAATAATTTATGGTTTCCAAACGCGAAATGTAATTTTTTAATGAGTTTATATATATATATATATATATATATATATATATATATATATATATATATATATATATATATATATATATATATATATATATAGCTTTGACGAGAAGAAGCCTGTGGTTTGGTTAACTGTGTACATATTTCTTTTAATACACACTATGACTTTCCTGACTATAATGATTCAGCAACAGATCTCTTTTAATATGATATATATATAGAGGGACTTAACTTCTGTTCTTCCAATTAACAGCAACATCTTACTTATTTTGAATGGCTTCTTGTTGTCCGACGACTGCTGATGGAACGAAATGAATTCTTTCGGCCAGTTTTGGAACCTGTGAGTCTGAATTGCTGAAGAAATTTTTGAACTCTGCTCCGTATGGTGGCATTGTTATCCTGTGTGATTTTTGTTAAATTATAAATTACATATTTTGTTTTCATTTATGTCGCTGGAGAGCAGATGTTACAATATTTTTATAGATTGTGTGTGAGTGTGTGTGTGTGTGTGTGGGGGTGAATATTACCTGTCAGTAGCAGCAACCAGTTGTTCAAGTGTCTCAGCTCAGGTGGGTACTTCGGAAGCGTGAGAGCAGTAGAGTTGCCACGGTAGGCAGTCCCGATTACAAGAAACACCAGCCAGGTTGCCACGAGTACACGGCAGTTGGTCCTGGGCAGTCGTCGTGGAAGATTCTGCCCTAACAACATCCCAGTACAGTCATGCACCACCACCGCTGCCTCTATCCCGCTCTCGCCATCCCTCCACTCACTCCCACGAATAATCTGTCGTTAACATCACGTATCAAAGATTTACTTACATCAACACTTATTGTGTAGGTAACATGTAACAGTTATTGTGAGCGATCTGTCAGAACAGGGAATATGTTGCCCCGGGCAACATATTCCTTGACAGTTGTTATACGGCAGTAGATAGGAGGACTTGAAAACTGCAATTGTGAAGAGATAATTTGAAGCTGTTAGATAATTGTTAACTCTTATAATATTTATGTAGTTCGTAAATGAGTATCGTGTTACTGGGACGCGTATCGGGAGACCTTTACTGATAAAAATATATATATATATTTTAGGAAATATTCCATCACTGGTTATTACGATGAGAATATTGAATTATTGATTCTTAAAAACGACGTATTTTCATCCACAATCCAAAATTTGGTGCATTATAAAGAAAATGTATATTAAGTCATTGTCAAGTTAAACGTGAAGCAACTAGAACTCATATCCAATAAGTTCTCAATAACACTAACAGAACTGTTGTAACGTTTGTTACTAAATTTGGCAAAACTGGTTACTTGTTAAAAAAGTAAATGGGACATAAAAAAGATAGTGTTGTGCGGGTAAACAGGAAGCAGTCTGTATTTTATCTATCATCTCCCTAGCCCTGTGGTAGAACATCGTGTGGTTGATTATAAGATATCACTGGGGTTGGCGAGTCCCTGGAAGTACTTCTAAAACATTTGGCAAAGTGACCGACCAAGTAATATTGTCCGGATTTAGTTAAACTTAATGAGGCTGAACTTGAAGGCGTGACCCCGTAAAACGAACACCCTGATATGATTGTCTTTGTCTTTGGTAAAGTTACCTCTAAAATCTGTTTGACTGAAAAATGAATGGTAAAATATTCATAGGAAACACTTAGAGGCTCCGACCAACTGTGGTCAAACGGGAATAACGCTATTCCTGTATGTCCTGGATGGTGCATATAGATATAAACAGTAATTTTAATGTCTTGTATATACTGTAATATCTTGGGTTGATTGCAAGCACCGACCTCAGTTTTACAGGTGAATATGTTTATGAGGTCAATCATGTGTACTTTTTTATCTAACTACCTTTGCTCCTGCCTCAATTTTTGTAGGTACCATAGGACTGACGAGTCACCTGGGAGCACTGTACCCCGTGGCCAGCCGCAGGGTCAGGAGGCGGGTCCTATATCTACTCGGGTACTGAGTGTCTTCTTATCTTTTGTAGATAAACACAAAATACGAGGATGACTTCGGAGGCAACACGAAGTATATGTGGTTATGCCTGCATGCTGGCTGTTCAGCAACCGTATGGTGTCATGTTATCTGGTAGTAGTGAAATAGGAGTGTTCTATAGGCAATTGTTTTTAAAGGAGGAGAAATTCTGGTGCTACTATAGACTGCAGTCTACCGAGCTGGAGTTGGTCTACCGGGATATTTACACTGCAGCATCCATTAACCTAACCTCACTTAAACTAACCTAACCTAACTTAATATAACCTAACCTAACCAAACTAACTTAATATAACCTGTAACATAGACGGGTCACACTTCCATGTATATACACTGCATTGTCACCTTTATCTACATGGCTTACTTCACACTACCCAAACCACTAATTAACCCGCAGTCAACTGAGATGGCTCCTGATTGGTGGAAAACAATCGCCGGCTGATGGGGACGCCATCTATGACAGGTGACGTCTACCCTAACCTTGGGGTTCCAGGGCAGTCATATTCCACCATCTCGGCAACTTGTTCTTCCTGTTTACTCTGTCGTGAAGTTGAGCGACTGTTTCCTACACTCTGCCGATGCACAGCGGGAGATACTGGCCAGCAATTTGTAACGTGTATTAGTATAGTTGAGTACATTATTTTTTCACCCTTGTATATATGTTTTGTGTTAATTTTGTTTTAAGAATATTATATAAAAATCACTTGCATATTTTTCACGTCCTGCTGTTTATACTGTGGTGGGTGTTGTCATGTCACCCATGAGTGTGGTGTCAAATATTCAATTAAGCCACTAATGCTATAATAACTAAACCTACAGTAAGATTCAATAACTAGAAAAAATTTAAATACAAACATTGTCCTTTGTTACGTAATTGGGCATGAGTATTACAAGGAATTATAATTAATGTCAATCAAAAAGCCTTAGACTCAACAGGTAAATAACAACTTGAAATTTTTAGATTAAAATAAAAGTAAATGCTAAATTAAAGGGCTTAAGGCATTTGCCTTCTTAGTACCCTAACCTAACCTAACCTTCATCCTCTTATGAATGTCTGAAATTTTTACAAGATAGACAGAAATTGCAATTATACTCACGAAATATGTGTCAGTGTTAATATTTTAGTAGAAATGTTGTATCTTATTTGAAATTATTACTCTCATGCACTTCACATAATTGAATAATATGCATTGAAAATACATATATACAATACAGCATAATATAAAATGAGCATGTTTGTGTGTGTGTGTGAGTGAGAGCGCCGTAGCTCCATGGCCATGAGACCTAACTTAACCTAAAATTTTGCATCCATACTAAGCGGAACGGGGAAGCAACCCCAATGCTACTTTAGATTTGGTTTAGGAAACAAAAACGAAGGTAATAATGAAATACATAGGTAAATTAACGAATAATTAAATTGGGGGCGGATACTAAGACCCACACCTAAAAGAGAGAGTGTGGATGATAGTGTACAGTAATTGATGTGGTGTAGATGATACTGCAGTTGATGTAGCGTAGATGATGGTGTAGTTGAAGTGGGTAGATGAATGTAGTTGATAGTAGTTCGAAGAAGAGTATACTAGAACCTAATTATGAAAGTTATAGGTCCATAAGAGCCCTAGCCCTGATAGTGTGCATCCCAGAGTGTAAAGAGAGTTGTGCAACATCACGAAATGCAATAGGATGCACCTTGGTCGAACATATTGACAACGAATTGAAGTTCTTAAACAATCGCGAGAAGAAGGTAAATCAAGTAAATGAGCTTGTAGGACTTATAAGAAGGGCGTTCATATACTTAGATGGTCCATCCCTCATAACGCTCTTCAAAAATAAGATGCTTCCCCGTTTGGTCCCGAGATATATTAGACAATGTCAGTTGTTTGAAAACGCCCAAAGGA